CTTTCAGCTTGGCGAGCAGAGAATACCCTGATGCCAGTTTTCCCCTCTTTTGAGTATTAAATTTGTGTGTGCCTTCATTTAAATTCCCACTGAATAGTGAAATTGTTTTCAAAATAGACAGATAACATCATGTAAAGTTAGAGCATTTGTTTTACTTTCATTTCCTTTTCAGTGATTTTTTTTTTTTTGGTTTATCAAAAGCACTGTTTTTGAAACATTGATCATAACCAAAGCCTGCATTATGAAAACATCTTTTACCAAACAAGTCAGTTTGCATTAAAATGCTCCCTAAGAGGATGTTTACCTGCATTTCCCAAAGTATGTTCTGCAAACTTCTAATTCTAAACCCTGGTTATTAGGATGGTAACAGTTGTCCTTCAATGAAAATATTCCTTCTGTGATTAAATAAGTTTGAGTGACTCTAGGAACAGGGTGACACAGCTTGCTTTCTTCCACTTCCAATTTGAAACTACTTGACTCCCCTGAGCCAGGTATCTGTTGAGCCTGTGGGCCTTGGGGTGTGGGTGAGGCTTTAGGCACTGTCAGCTCCTTTTGGTGAGAATTGGTACAGGGCTTGCCTGGATTACAGAGCACCTTGTAAGCACGTGGCAAGCACAGGGCACTTAATCCTCAGAAAATCTTGGGGGAACATCCACCTCAGTTTCAGGTGAGTGTGCTAAGTCTCCCCTTCCCTAAGTGTCCACAGACCAAGAGAGAGCTGAAAGGCTAATTTGCATCTTCCCTGCCATTCAGAGTGGGAGATGACAGGGAAATTCTGCAGGACTGGTAACCTATTTTTCATCACATGCCCCAGGTCCTGAGAATGCTTTGCCTATCACTGCCCATGGGTCTCACTGCCTTTTATGCTTTCTCAACAATAAAATCCAAGTCCCAAAGATGCTACAAAGAAAGATAGCAGCCTAGCTGAGAGCCATCCAAGAGAGAAGGAACAAGTGGATCTATCAGAACAAATGCCACAGAAGTACAGAAATAGAAGCACTGGGGAGGAGATTCCGGTTCAAGATGGTGGTGTAGGAGGCTACCCGGCTCCCGACCTCCCATGGACAAACCCAGCCTGCAGCTACATATGGAACAAATTCTTCTGGGGGAAAAAAACAAAAAAACCTAAAAATTATCTGAGCAACTCCTGTGCATCTGGTGAGTGAGAGAAGTCCCACCTCAAAGCAGGTAGGAGAAGCTAGGACACAATCTTGCCATAAGCCCTGTCCCCAGTGCAGTGACCCACAATTGGGAGGGAACTCCAAACCCTGAGTTTCCTCCTGAGGAGGAGGGGTTGAAACCCACACTGGGCACCACAACTTTTAAGACCTGAGAAACAAGCCCCAAAACATCTAGCTTTGAAAAATACCAGGGCTTATGTCCATGGGACCCACAGGCTGTGAGGTTCTGAGAAACAGCTTCTGAAGGGTTTGACCACTTGGACTTACCTGCCTTGGGGCTCAGTGCAGAGGCAGCCGATAGAGAGGTACCCAGACTTTGTGTTCATGAGGCTCATTTGCTAATTTTAAGGCCTTGGTCTGAGGGGCAAGCATCTAATTCATTACACATCTAGGGGCCTGCTGGCTGGTGGGTACCGTCTTCACCCTCTTCCTCTGCCTCCCTCTAGCCAGCAGGCACTATCTTTTTTTCTTTTTTTACTCTTTTTATTTATTTTTTTCCCCTGCAGTCACCATCTGTATGCTTCCCTTGTGTCTCATTATGGCTGGCAGGTGCCGCCTTCTTCTTCTTCTTCTTTCCCCTTTCTCCCCAGCAGGCAACATTTATATGTTCTCTCTCTGCCTCATTCCAGCCAGTGGGCGCCATCTTGGTGCTCTCCCTCTGCCTTACTCCAGAGCATCAGTATTTTCTGGAAGGGAGCTTTTACACGTGTCTGGTGCGCCTGGTTTTATAGGTGCCAACCAGGGGACACCCCTTGATCACCTGGCTCTGGAGGCCAGGCGTGCTTATGATCCTGAGTCCCATGGGACTGTACAGATCAGAGAGACAGTTCTTGGCAGGCTACCACTCCTGGGTCACTGCACAGACAGCAAACAGAGACACACTCCAGTCTTTCTGTCAGAGAGGCCTGCTTGCTTGTGCTGGTCCTGGAGCTTTGGTCTGAGGGGCAGGAGTCTGGTTTAGCACACAACTAGAGGCCAGCAGAGGTGCTCTCAGGGAATGGAGACTGATGAACATCATCCTCGAACTCTTCCTCTGCCCGTATCTCCCCCAAACAAGATATGCTTATCTGGTGCCCTGATTTTTGCAGCTTGCCACCAGGGGACATCTGTACATTGCCTGACTCTGGTGGCCAGTGGGGCTTACGCTTGCAGTCCCACAGTACTGTATATATTTGCATACTTTAAAAGCTGCTGCCTGAGGGTCTGGCTTGTAATCAGCTAGATGGAAATTATGATGGAAAAGATAAAATATTGGAGGGTAAATCCAGGAAACTGAACATATGGGTAGTAGGTATTCAGAAGCGGAAAAGAAAACAGATGGAGGAGACACTGTCAAATTCTAGGGGAACGTTTTTCAAGGCTGAGCTGTCTGGAGTCAGCAGATTTAAAGCACTCACAGGGTTCCAGGCTGAACTGTTAAGAAAACCCAATTATTTTCTGGTAAAAACTTCTTACAGTCTTCCAGGAAGAAAGATTAAATTATCCACTGAGAAAAAAGAATCATAACACCACTAAAATACCATCTGTAAACAAAAGAAACTAAAAGACAATTGAATAACATCAGAGAAAAAGAATAATACCTCAAGAATGCTATATCCAGCCAAGATATTATTCACCTGAATAAAGACATTCAAGGATAGGTGACAAAATAGAGTCATCCAAATAACCTCTCTGAGAAAAATACTTGAGATAGTCTAACTGAGATATAAATGAACTCAAATTAAGAACGCAAGCCAGAAGAAAGATGAAGAGGACAGGAATAAATGATGAACAATGAGCCTTGCCATATGAACAGATTCACTCATTCAGTTGACAGGTATTTACTGTGTGCCTAATACGTGCCAACATAATTGTTGACAAGGGGGATACTGCAGTGAATAAGATAAACAAGAATTAAATCTTAATGGGTGAATATAATCTATCTGAGAATAAATAACATAATGTTTAATTAAAGATGGCTGAAACACAGGGAATACATTGTAATGGGTTTTAAAATAAATACTAAAATATGCCCACAAAGCCTAAGAGAAGGGGGTGGGGAAGAATGAATGCATTATGAAATCCTCATGGGGGAGAGGGAAATGACAGGTGTTGGGGACTGGGAGGGTGAAATTAAAAATAAAGAACTTTTTCTACTGGGGAAGAGTGACAAAGCAGTTGTTTTAATTGCAGATATCAACTGTGGTTGGCTAGAATCTAAAGATGACTTTAGACATCTCTTGCCCTAATCTCTTATACTGAACATCGTGTGTGTGATTCTGTTATCTTACATGGCAAAGACATTTTGCAGATGTAATTAAGGTTGCTAATTAGTTGGTTCTGAGTTAATCAAAAGAGAGATCATCAAGGTAGACCTAATGTAATCACGTGAGCACTTTTTTTTTTTTTTTTAGGGAGGGAGGGACAGAAGGAGAGGGAGAGAGGATGCTAAGCAGATTCCATGCACAGAGCAGAGCCCAATGTGGGGCTCAATCCCACAACCCTGAGATCATGACCCCAACCAAAATCAAGAGTCAGACTGAGCCACCCAGGCCCCCCAAATCACAAGAGCACTTTAAAAGCAGAGTTTTCTCCACCTGATGGCAAAAGAGGAAGTCAGATAGATTGAAAGCTCAGGAAGGATTTGATGCACCATTGATGGCTTTGAAGATGGGAGGGGCCACATGCAAGAACTGAAGGGTGGTTTCAACCTGCTGAGGATGACCTTTGGCCAACAGCCAGGAGGTAAATGAGGACCTCAGTCCTGCACAGGCAAGAACTCGATTCTACCAACAATGTGAAAGGGCCTGGATGCAGGTTCTCCTCAGACCTTCCAGATAAGATCCCACCATGGCCCTCACCTTGACGTCTGCCTGTGAAACTCCAAGCAGAGATTCCAGGTATCCAGACTTCTGACATATAGAACTGCAAGCTAATAAATGGATATTGTCTTACACTGCTGAGTTTGTGGTAATTTGTAATGCAGCAATACAAAACTAATATGTCAGCTTGTGAAAATATTAACTGATACTTGACCTTTCTTACATCGTCTTGATGCTTTTGACTAATCACAATTTTATAACAAACTTAATTTAATAACAGTTAAATAGTTTATAATAATTTGATAACGAATATCTAAGCTGAAATAAATAATAAAGTAATGTATTTGGAAGCCCTTTATAGACCATAGAGTGGCCTATAGTCTCTAGAGGCATATATAGAACTTTAGGAAATGCATACAGAGCATTATTCTTGAGTTTGTTGGCTGTTTTCCCTCAGCATGACACTTAGTAACATTAAGTGTGTTAACTCAAATGGAAAGTGGCCTTTAAGTTAATACGAAGTGTTTTCATGCAAACCTATAATTAACACAGAAAAATGTTAAATGCCTTTTACAGAGATTTGCCTGGTTAATAGATTTTTCTCATGCTTTATTACTGTTGTCTTTTATATTTAAGTATATATTTTATTTAAATTTTCATCCTGTCATTCTCTTATCATCTTCAGCTTTGTTTTCACTGTAATGGTTTATAGCCTCCTCAATTTTTACAAATGCAAATTAACCTTATTATTATTTCTCTCTGGAATCTGGAGTATAGTATTTCTTAAATAACTAATATACAATTTCTGGGTTTACCTAATCTCATGGCTCCTTAATTCAAAGACCTTCCAAAGTTATCCAAAGCTCAAGAGGTAGTGTGAAATGGCAGAAAGAATACTGTACTATATTAGAAGCTGGAGAACTGAGTTCAGTCTTCAGACTTCCATTAGCTAGTATTGCCATCTTTGGCAAATGTCTTCTCTTCTCTCTCAGGCTCTACCTTTTAACATTTGCAATTCAGATCTCCATTTCTTTCTTTCTTTCTTTTTAAGTAGGCTCCATGCCCAACGTGGGCCTTGAACTTACGACCTCGAGATCAAGAGCCTCATACTCTACCCACTAAGCCAGCCAGACACCCCTTCACATTTCCAATTCAAAGGAGTGACTTCCACACTGTAGAACCTGAGGCCCTTCTTGGAGGTCCCCACGTTTGCTCTAGAAATCAGTCAGGAGCCCGGGGGGGGGTGGGGAAGGGCTTGTGAACGTCTGCTCCTGTTTTAGTTGGTAAAGTTCTTTTATGCACTTCATGTAGTGGCTTCTGTATCACATTTCATTTTGAGAAATAGCTGTATAGCTTTTCAAAAATGAACACCAGAGTATTAGATGATTTCTAAGATTTATCCTGGTTTAAATACAAGTTCCCTCCTCCACCTGCATTTTCTTTTCTGAATTCAGTAACTGAATAGATTCAGATAGCAAGGAGTATACATTATAGTATATATCAGTCATACCCCTAGAAACAGAACCAACAGGGTGTGTTCATCTTGAGGCATTGGCTCACCTGATCACAGAGGCTTTATGCATCCAAAATCATCAGAGTAGGCCAGGAGGCTACAGACTGCACTTTGAGCCAAGGAAAGAGCTGTACTTTGAGTCCAGGCTGTTGACAGAATTCCCTCTTGTCTGGGACAGGATGGTGCTGGTGAGGGTTTCTGTCTTTGTGCTCTTAAGACCTTCAGATGATTGGATGAGGCCCAATCCAAAGGGTAATCTGCTTTACCTGAAGTCCACCCATTTAAGTGTCCACCTCATCCAAAAAACTCCTTCACGGAAGAAACATCCAGGAGAATGTGTGACCAATTTCTAGGCACTGTGGCCTAGCCAAGTTGACACATACAACTAACCAACACATACTATGAAGGGAAGAAATAGGACATTATAGCTATATAATTACTCTCTTGCCAATGAAGAGGAGAATATACACTAATAAAAGATAAAATAATGCATTTTATTTTGTGGAAGATGACAGAATTAGAAAAATCAAAGTTCCACTTGGAGAAGTAAAGCATGCTATTTTGGGCAGCTAAAATGACTGTGGATTTTTAAGTTAAATTGCTTGGACAAAAATTTCTCCTCTTTGAGTAAATGTTGGGCATAGTGTTATAAAGAAATAGCTCCTCCTAAATGATACCTATTTCTTTCAGTAAAGAACTGTCTCTGTGTTCCTTAGACATCATGGATTCATGATGTCCCAGTCTTTACTTCATCTCTATTTCTAAGTCTCTGCTTCCTATATCTGCTTACTCTTTCCCTTTGTCATTCCTCCCATCTTTGTTCATTTGTTGCTACTGTCTTCAGCAACTTTTCAGTAAATCAGGGCATTCTGAAGAAATAAATGGACATGCTCTTATAGATTGTTCTATGTAAAGAATGTATGTATCTTTTTAATATTTGTTTATTGGTAATTGTCTTTGAGGCAAAACAAAGGGGCAAGGCACATTCATCTTACAGAACAACAGAGAAATGGAGCATTTGTTCAAATTTAGTGATAAACATAATGAATTTATTATTCAAAAGGTTCCCTTTTCTCTGAGGGCCAAATGAAATTTACATAATTTAGCAATGTATATCATAGAATAAAAATAGGTTGTGTAGTACTGTAGCTCCCCTTGAAATAGGTTTTCCCCCACAGAATGACATTTTATTGCTATTTTTTTAAAGATTTTATTTATTTATTTGACAGAGAGAGACACAGCGAGAGAGGGAACACAAGCAGGGGGACTGGGAGAGGGAGAAGCAGGCTTCCCGTGGAGCAAGGAGCCCGATGTGGGGCTTGATCCCAGGAGTCTGGGATCATGATTTTGGATGCATAAAGCCTCTGCAATCAGGTGAGCCAATTCCTCAAAATGAACACATCCTGTTGGTTCTGTTTCTAGGGGTATGACTGATATATAGATCATGACCAAAGGCAGACCCTTAACTGACTGAGCCACCCAGGCACTCCATTTTGTTGCTAATTTAATTATTCTCTTCTCTGTACCTTAAGAGTTCTAGTGCTATCCGGATGTTAAATATGCCTTAAAGAAGTGTTTCATTATGGCAGGACGTAGTTGCTTATAATGACACCATAAAGCCAAATTCCCAAAGCAGCAACAAGGAAGTTTCTTAGGCCCTCCTAACAACTCATTCGTATTCTTTCAACATGATTCCTTGCTTATATGCTGCTTCCTTGTGTTGGGCCAAGGTTATAACTGATTTATCTATTTTGCAGCCTCAGGTAGAGACTGATATTTTATCTCTAAAAAAAAAGATGATGAATGAGACTTTCAGCATTTTTTAAAGACCGAAAAGATTGGACATAAAACTCTGGAATAGAGAGTACAACTTTTTCATGCTTCCAAAGTAAGTAAATGCAAGGAAAAATACTTGGTCAGATTGAGTTGTGAAGACAACAGTCTGATGAGCAAGAGTGATATTCCAACTGTCAGGAAGTGGCCAAGGAGCCAACTCAAAACATCACCAGCTTTTAAGAAAGACACCATCACCTGTTAACTATATTGATTTGAGGTTCCTTTGGAGATGAAAATGGTATACTCACAGTTATCTTTGAGATTGTTCTAGAAAAAAAAAAAAGAATTTACCCATTGCCAGAGGTTCAAGGAAAGAGGAGCCGATCTTCAACTTGGCCACTACTGATGGGAGCTGAGCAGCTGTTTTTACTTTAGAAAAGGCATGTTCTTTCCAACACACCATAATCCTTCAATATTATACCCAGTTTGTTTCACTCAATTACATGACTTGTTCATCTCTTATAAGCATTAAGTTATAGAGAGTTTGGAAAGTAAGAAATTTACTGAAGATTCAGAATCAAAAAAAGATCATTCTTTTACCTACTGAATTTGTCATGTGTCTCCTCAAGTTGTTTTTTCTATGCTACTTTGTTCACCATTTAATTGCTTAAAGCATGGGATAAATTGTTATTCCTGAGAATATCATCATTATCCAAATAAGAAACTCCCAGAAGATTACTCTGGAGCAAGTTTTCAAAATTTTTTAGTCCAGTGATGACTGCAACAAAGTAAATATAGATCATCTACTTTTTCTAACCTTACTCATCCTTTTCTCCTAAACTACCCTTACCTGAATCAAGGAAATAAATATTGTTTCTTATTTTAGTAAGATTTTATTCAATATCACATAGAAATTTTAGCTTGGAAGCCAGGACATAAACTTTTAGGCTACATATGGCCACTTTTTATTGGGACCTGGTCTCAGTTAATGCCCTATAACTTGACTACTAGGTTAGAATGAAAGCAATTTGCGAACAAAAATGCCACATATTCAGGTACTTCTTAAATAAATGTTCTTTAGAAAATAGGTACAAAACATGGGGCACCTGGGTGACACAGTCGGTTAAGCATCTGACTCTTGGTTTCAGCTCAGGTCATGATCTCAGGGTTGTGGGGTTGAGCCTCGCATTAGGCTCTGGGCTCTGTGTGGAGTCTGCTTAAGACTCTTTTTCCCTCTCCCTCTGCTCTCCCACCCTCCCAAATAAATCTTAAAAAAAAGAAAAGAAAATAGGTACAAATCATTTTATATTCTTTGCTTGGTAAGCTTGATGCAGTCCCAGCTCTGTGTCCTTTTAGAAGCTTTGGCTGCCTCATTACAAGAACAGTTTGCTCAAAGCACACATCCATCAGTACAGAGGCAGGAATAACGCTACTGAATTCCTTCTAATCCAATGGCTCAGATCAAGCCTTAGCATTCCCCATAGGGGTGCAGCTATAGTCTGAATTTTATAGAGTAATTGCTTGCCTTAGAGTTGAAGCTTAAACTAACTGGCACATCCATAATTCCATATCATCTCTGCTGAATTATTTTAAAGTAAATTACTAATATCTTAACACCTTTCCAGATTTCTAGTGATGATGATTACCTGTTGAGGGAGTAGATATCATATGATCTGTCTCCTAGTCCAAAGCAGGAGTTGCACTTAAAATATCCATGTGTACAGGTATCTGTCATATCCTTAAACTTCTGTGGGCATTATGGAGGAAGTAGAGACTTTATTAGTGGGTTGGTGGTTATTATACTTTAATTCTTTTGCTGAAACTCAATTTGAGAGGAAAAACATGCCAGTTTTCCAAACTTAAAAAGTAATGATTAATAAAGGACCATGACTTACATTACATAGAATATATGGATATGTGGTCATAATGAAAATGAATGTAGGGGTAAAAAAACCTCTTTGCTTGCAGCAGCTCAATTGACTGGCTTTGAGATTTGTTCTTTTATCTTTTTTTTTTTTTTTATTTTACTTAACATTTTATTATGAAAATTTTTTAAAATATAGAAAACGTCAAAGAATTTTGCAGTGATCCCCCACATAGTCACCACTTGGATTCTACAATTAACACCTTAGTGTACTGGATTTATCACACTTCTATCCATCCAGCTAATCCCCTACCCATCCATCAATCCATTTTATTTTTTGATGCATTTCAAGGAAGTTGCAGACATCAGTATACTTCCTCTCAAGTACTTCAGAATGCATAACATTAACTAGAGCTGTGAAAATCTTTTTTTTTAATTTATTTTTATTTTTTTATTTATTTTATTTATTTTATTCTTATGTTAATCCCCATACATTACATCATTAGTTTTAGATGAAGTGTTCCATGATTCATTGTTTGCACATAACACCCAGTGCTCCATGCAGAATGTGCCCTCCTCAATACCCACCACCAGGCTAACCCCTCCTCCCACCCCCCTCCCCTCTAGAACCCTGTTTGTTTTTCAGAGTCCATCGTCTCTCATGGTTCGTCTACCCCTCCGATTTCCCCCCGCTTCATTCTTCCCCTCCCGCTACCTTCTTCTTCTTCTTTTTTTTTCTTAACATATATTGCATTATTTGTTTCAGAGGTACAGAGCTGAGATTCAACAGTCTTGCACAATTCACAGTGCTTACCAGAGCACATACCCTCCCCAGTGTCTATCATCCAGTCACCCCATCCCTCCCACCCCACCCCCCACTCCAACAACACTCAGTTTGTTTCCTGTGATTAAGAATTCCTCATATCAGTGAGATCATATGATACATGTCTTTCTCTGTTTGACTTATTTCACTCAACATAATACCCTCCAGTTCCATCCACGTCGTTGCAAATGGCAAGATCTCATTCCTTTTGATGGCTGCATAATATTCCATTGTGTATATATACCACATCTTCTTTATCCATTTATCTGTCGATGGACATCTTGGCTCTTTCCACAGTTTGGCTATTGTGGACATTGCTGCTATAAACATCAGGGTGCACGTACCCCTTCGGATCCCTACTTTTGTATCTTTGGGGTAAATACCCAGTAGTGCAATTGCTGGATCATATGGTAGCTCTATTTTCAACTTTTTGAGGAACCTCCATACAGTTTTCCAGAGTGGCTGCACCAGCTTGCATTCCCACCAACAGTGTAGGAGGGTTCCCCTTTCTCCGCATCCCTGCCAACATCTGTCGTTTCCTGACTTGTTAATTTTAGCCATTCTGACTGGTGTGAGGTGGTATCTCTTTGAGGTTTTGATTTGGATTTCCCTGATGCTGAGCAATATTGAGCACTTTTTCATGTGTCTGTTGGCCATTTGGATGTCTTCTTTGGAAAAATGTCTGTTCATGTCTTCTGCCCATTTCTTGATTGGATTCTTTGTTCTTTGGGTGTTGAGTTTGATGAGTTCTTTATAGATTTTGGATACTAGCCCTTTATCTGATATGTCATTTGCAAATATCTTCTCCCATTCTGTCGGTTGTCTTTTGGTTTTGTTGACTGTTTCCTTTGCTTTGCAAAAGCTTTTTATCTTGATGAAGTCCCGATAGTTCATTTTTGCCCTTGCTTCCCTTGCCTTTGGCGATGTTTCTAGGAAGAAGTTGCTTCGGCTGAGGTCAAAGAGGTTGCTGCCTGTGTTCTCCTTTAGGATGTTGATGGACTCCTGTCTCACATTGAGGTCTTTCAACCATTTGGAATCTATTTTTGTGTGTGGTGTAAGGAAATGGTCCAGTTTCATTCTTCTGCATGTGGCTATCCAATTTTCCCAACACCATTTGTTGAAGAGACTGTCTTTGTTCCATTGGATATTCTTTCCTGCTTTGTCAAAGATTAGTTGACCATAGAGTTGAGGGTCCATTTCTGGGCTCTCTATTCTGTTCCATTGATCTATGTGTCTGTTTTTGTGCCAGTACCATGCTGTCTTGATGATGACAGCTTTGTAATAGAGCTTGAAGTCCGGAATTGTGATGCCCCCGGCTTTGCTTTTCTTTTTCAACATTCCTCTGGCTATGCAGGGTCTTTTCTGGTTCCATACAAATTTTAGGATTATTTGTTCCATTTCTTTGAAAAAAGTGGATGGTATTTTGATGGGGATCGCATTGAATGTGTAGATTGCTCTAGGTAGCATTGACATCTTCACAATATTTGTTCTTCCAATCCATGAGCATGGAACGTTTTTCCATTTCTTTGTGTCTTCCTCAATTTCTTTCATGAGTATTTTATAGTTTTCTGAGTACAGATCCTTTGTCTCTTTGGTTAGATTTATTCCTAGGTATCTTATGGTTTTGGGTGCAATTGTAAATGGGATCGACTCCTTCATTTCTCTTTCTGCTGTCTTGTTGTTGGTGTATAGGAATGCCACTGACTTCTGTGCACTGATTTTATATCCTGCCACTTGACTGAATTCCTGTATGAGTTCTAGCAGTTTTGGGGTGGAGTCTTTTGGGTTTTCCACATAAAGTATCATATCATCTGCAAAGAGTGAGAGTTTGACTTCTTCTTTGCCAATTTGGATGCCTTTGATTTCTTTTTGTTGTCTGACTGCTGTGGCTAGGACTTCCAATACTATGTTGAATAGCAGTGGTGATAGTGGACATCCGTGCCGCGTTCCCGACCTTAGGGGGAAAGCTCTCAGTTTTTCCCCATTGAGAATGATATTCGCTGTAGGTTTTTCATAGATGGCTTTATGATATTGAGGTATGTACCCTTGATCCCTATACTCTGAAGAGTTTTGATCAAGAAAGGATGCTGTACTTTGTCAAAATCTTTTTCTGCATCTATTGAGAGGATCATATGATTCTTGTTCTTTCTTTTATTAATGTATTGTATCACATTGATTGATTTGCGGATGTTGAACTAACCTTGCAGCCCAGGGATAAATCCCACTTGGTCGTGGTGAATAATCCTTTTAATGTACTGTTGGATCCTATTGGCTAGTATTTTGGTGAGAATTTTTGCATCCATGTTCATCAGGGATATTGGTCTGTAATTCTCCTTTTTGATGGGGTCTTTGTCTGGTTTTGGGATCAAGGTAATGCTGGCCTCATAAAATGAGTTTGGACGTTTTCCTTCCGTTTCTATTTTTT